GGGGGGGTGCAAAAGCTGTTTTGCCTAACAAATAAATTGTGCAACATTCATCGGTAGTACAGTATATTACCAAAAATGTAAAAGTAATAAGAAATTTACTTCTTACCACGTCTTTCCTGTCGACATTGAATCCTGTCGTGTCGCATTTGCAGCAGTCCATTTCCATATCGGTGGACAGATAACAAAGCTTGAAGAGTACTGTTAGCAAAACAGGTATTTCTCAAATTTTGTATGCCTTTCGGTATTAAAGTCAACATTTTTATCAAGATTGGGCAAAAACGAAACGCTTACGCCAAAATCTGGAACAGCAGGAATGAAATCAAAGTATTTCGCGGCGAAATGCAAATTTCCCGCGTTTTAATATTTATGATTCTAAACGGGAAGTCGACAACCGGAAGTAAAATAACAGGATTGATCTTTTTATGACCAATCCAGTTAAAAAATATAGTTCAGTGCTTGGTAACCAAGCCTTAAAGTGATCCCAAAAAATTTTTCTGCTCACCGCTCACCGCTCACCGCCACCGCGACACGAAATTTAGAGCTATATGAAAGTTGCATGCCATATATGGCATGCAACAAAAAGGAGGATTATTCTTGCAACTTTCCATTCATTTGGAAATGTACATAGAATAATTGATTGGTTAAAAATATAGGTTAATGAATCGGAAATAACTGGGGCTGCTATTTTGACAACCTTGCTAGAAATTTTATCTAAGCCAGTAGCTTTGTTGCCGGCTAGTTGAGATAACAAAAAACAAACATGGTTTGTAGTAACTGGTTTGAATGCAGTAAATTCAGATTCAGCTTTCTTAAGGTAGTCCTTAAAATGACATTCAGTTGTATCAATTTCAGCTGCTAGGTTAGGTCCAATATTTGCAAAGTAGTCATTGAAACCTTTTGCTATGTCTTCAGGGCTTGTTAGTTTTACATTATTTATATTTAATTCATTCACTTTAGTAGGTCTATTTTGCTTACCAATTAAACTATTAATTGTCTTCCAAGCAGCTTTTGGATTTTGGCTCTCAGAAGAAATTTTATTGGTGTAATACTCTTTTTTAGCCAGTCTTAACTGAGTATTTGTTTCATTCCTGGCTCTTTTATAGTTTTCCCAATCTGACTCAAGTTTCGTTACGATTGCTCTTCTTTTCAATTTATCCCTTGTGATTATCATTTGTTTAATATGATTAGTAATCCAACGTAGTTTTTTAGATTTTATCTTTTTATTTTGAAGAGGGGCATGTTTATCTAGAACCTGTAAAAATAGCTCTTTCCAAATTTGCCACATACTGTTGGGATTGTCTGCAAAAAAGTAGACATTCTCCCATGACTGGATTTTAAGATCATGCAAGAACTTATTTTCATTGAAGTTTTTCATATTCCTAATTTCAATAATATTTTCTTTATCTTTATGGTTTATATTAATCTTCCTAATGCGGAGTTAGTTAAGGTAATTCCGCAGTAATTGTTCCCGAAATGAGAAAGTGCTGAAACTTCAAACTTCCCAGGCATGGAGTTTATGATATACTTAAGGTAAAATCACACAAAAAAGTCGGGGTCACCGAACTCGTTAAGAAGATACGACAATCACAATATACTACCTTTACGCTCATTACGAGTAACAGCAAACTCACAACAGCCCGATATTTGTTGACGTATTTAGTGCGGATTTTGCTTTAGTAAACCTATCTTGTAATTATTTTTGAAAAAATATTGTGTTTTGAGCAAAATGAAACTACTAACGTGTACAATTCGATTCTGATCCACAAATGTCTTTTGCACATTTCTTTACATATCTTTCTTTGAGAACATGCATTGATAAAGCATTTTTTTTCAAGATCCAGAAATGATTTTTCTTTTAATTTCGGATATGAAATGTAAAATGTATTTAAGAAATAAATTATCAGTTAAAAAACGGGGGTCACCGATCGTTCTGCATGTTATGTGGTGACTTTAATGCTAGGATAGGTAACCTAGATGGTTTAATATTGATGATCCTTTTTCAAACATAGAACATCTCATCCCAGTTTTCGTCAACTAAACGACTTTCGAGAGATACACATGTAAATCTGTATGGAAGATCTTTAGTTGATCTATGATATATTGGGAATAGTTTGATTCCCTTAAATGGTAGAACCAAAGGTGATTTGATTTGATTGGCCAGTTCACTTGTAATATGTACAATGCTGTCAATGGTGCAAGTGTTGTGGACTATATGCTATTGTTTCGCATGACTTGCATGTTTGCTTTCATACATAGTTTCCCGATAGATGACCCAACAGAGTTTCTAACCCAACAGAGTTGTCTTTCCTTGGTGTTGAGAATAGAATTTCCTCAACGTCTGAATGATGCTATGAAATTATCTTCCCATCCAATATCTTTTAGTGGAATGAAAATCATAAAGAAACATTACAAAATATTATGAATTCAGAGGAAGTTAAGAACAAATTAAATGCATGCACTGTTTATTCAAGAACCAGAAAACAAACCAAGTGATGTTAATGTACTTGTAATAATTTCACAGAAATATTACGTGATTCTGCTAAAGCAGTTTTGGTCATGAAACAAAAGAAACTAACCAGTAAAAACAGTAAGATAAATAAACCAAAGCAAAAGTGGTTTAATTAATAAAGATATTGTCATACATTTAAAAGGAGTTTGCCTAACTTGGGTAGTTTAATTTACCAGCAAATTATCCCTCAGATTCGTTTTTACGTCATACATTTTTCACCAAAAGAAACGAGTATAAGAGATTAATTAATAAAAAGACTCAAACGACAATTTCATAGTAGTGTATTAGATAAAATTGAAAACCTATCAAGTAGTAATCCTAAAGAATTTTGAAATTTAGTTAACTTAATCAAGGCAAAACAATCGCCTACAATATCAAATGAAATACAACCCTCTGAATGGTTTGACTATTTTAAAAATTTAAACATGGTAAACATTCATAGTGAAAAGAATAATTATGAAGCTGAAATTGTTAATGATAACCATCGTTGGGTGATATGTAGAAATGACACACTTGATAAACCAATTTCTGTTCATGAATTGTATATATAGTCTATAGACTAACAGACAAGTTAAAGAACAAAAAGGCCAGTGGCAGTGCTATTGATTCACTAACTAATGAAATTATTAAGGTAGCAGTTAAAACTTTACCATATTATTTCACCAAGTTATTTAAAACATTTATCCCACGGGATTTTTCCATCATTGTGGAAAGTTTTATTGTACCGATCACAAATCAGGTGATACTGCTGATCCTAATAACTATAGAAGAATCATGCATCGGTAGCTGTTTGGGAAAATTAAGAATATCGAATAACTGCCAAATAGGTCATAGAAATCGGACTGTTCGGACAGCAGATCATATATTAGTTTTGAAAACCTTGATGGACTGTTATAGGCTAAAACGAAAACCAATTTTTGCTTGCTTTATTGATTTTAAGAAGGCTTATAATAGTGTATGGAGGGAAAGTCTTTTTTATAAGCTTATTTTATCTGGATGCAGTAAATTGAGAAAATCAACAACCTGTTGATATCGACGACAGGCGTTAACAATGTTGTTCGACGACAGGCGTGAACAATGTGCAAGTTGATATCGACGACAGGCGTGAACAATGTTGTGCGGCCCACTATGAACAGTATTGTCAACATGTTGTTGCAGCATTGTTCAATTGTAACAACTTGGAACAACATGGTTGACAACTTGTTCATAGTTGGCCGCACAACAGTGTTCACGCCTGTCAACTTGTAACAACCTGTGCGTTTTTAGCCGTGTATGTATTCCTCAGTAAACTATTCAGTAAAATTACGTCAAGGAACAACTCCCTTCTTCAACTCTGGTGTTGGTGTTAAATAAGGCTGTAATCTTCTTCCTACTGTTTTCAACATGTTTGTAAATGATATACCTGATTTTTTTAAAATTAACCAGGCATGTGATCCAGTAAAACTTGGTAATACAGATTTGAACAGTTTACTTTATGCGGACGATTTAGTCCTGTTGTCCAAATCGCAAACAGGTTTACAAGAGTGTCTATCAAAACTTGAAATATATACAAAGAAATGGAAGCTCAAAATTAATAGGAGAAAATGCAAAGTTTTACTTTTTGGAACGCCGACCAAAGGCGTGCATATTTAACGTCAGCTTGGTTATACGAAGAAAATCCCCTATAGAACAGGTGAAGCTAGTATTGTTACCTTGGAATTACTCCTCACTTTTCCGGAAATTTCAAACGGGTGATACTGCTGATCAGGTGATACTGCTGATACTGCTGATACGAGCTTACAATTTTTTATACAAAAAATTTTCAAATTTTGAAAATTTGCCAATCAAATTGCTTTTAAAACTTTTCTCGACTACAATATTCACATTTTATTAAATAGAAAGATTTCATTTAAAATTTTGTAAACGTATTTTTGGAGTTCACTCAAAAACTACAAATATAGCAATTTATACTGAATTAGGAAGGATACCGTTAATTGCACAAATTTCTTTGCATATCGTTAAATACTGGCTACACATTAAGGATGCAAGTTTCGATAAAACTCTGGCTGACGAAGCTGCTCGAGTGTGTATGGATATGAATCTTCAACCAGCAATGTTTACGGATTATATATATTTACTGAAAGAGTGTAAAAATGATGTTGGATATGTTAGGTACTTCACAGTCCCTCGTGACATTTAATGAATACACTTAATGAAGAGTCTAAGCATTATTATAAAAAACAACTGAAAGAAAAGAAACTAAAAGTCTTCAGTAAAATTAAAATGAATTTTGAAATGGAAAAATATCTAATAGAAATCCAAAATGTTAAACACCGCCAAGCTGTTACAAAATTAAGAATTTCTGCGCAAAGATTACCAGTTGAAACTGGCAGATATAAAAATATTCCTTACTGAATACTGTGATAGAGCGTGCAGACATTGTGATCTGAATGAAGTTGGAGATGAACAACATTATGTAATGTCATGCAGAAATACAATGTTTGCAACTTTAAGACAGGATTTCATAGATGACTTATATATTAAAAAAATCAATAATTTTTTCATATATTTTTCAAGTTAGATGATTTGTTTCATTATGTTATGGCTATGCATGATACAAGCATTATGAGACTGTTTTCTAAATATTGTTATGATATTCTTACAGTTTTTGATGAGATACAGTTATGTAGTTAGATATCATTGTTTATTCCTAGGCTATATATGTTCAATATTCTTAATATATCATTATTGGTATTTTGATTGGAATAAAGTTATTTATTTAAACCATCCTAAACTGAGCTACAATAATCAAAATATACGGTTGAATTAGTGCTCCATAAATTTTCAGAGCATAAATTTTCGACATGTCATGCCCATCGATTTGCAAGCCTAAAGATTTCGTTTCGTTGACTCTGAAAGACCTTATGTGTTCGTATTCATGTACCAGTAATTGTTGTCGTTACCGAGATTCTATTACCATGAATACGGAATACCGTTTTAGCGACGTTAGGGAGTGGTCATTATTTATAGGGAGGGGGGTTGGTAAATGGGAGGGGGGGACAAACAAAGTTTTACGCTTATAAATACGGGGGGTCAAAAACGTTTTAACCTAGAGGAAGGGGGGGGGGCAAAAAAAGTTTTTGAACTTAAATACCATGTCTAGAGTTCTGATTTCTATAAATAGCATAGACTCACAAATAGCATAGACTCACAATTTATAAATAGCATAGACTCACAAATAATAATGCCAAAGAGGTAAAGAAGACTCTGAATATGTCATTTCCAACAATCTAAAGACTCAAAATTTTCAACATTTCCTTGCTCGGCGCCAATTATGGTAGCGCCACGTGGGAGCCGGGCCTACTAAGTTTAATTAACAAGCTTCCTACCCCCTGAGTGATCCAGTTGTGGTGTTTACATAAACATACCATGCAAGAAGTACTTAACTGATTAGATTCGGTCTATCAAAGCAGAATGTAACTCTGTATATCCAAAAATCTGTTTCAGAAAATGCTCACATTTCAGTCCTATGGGTGGAAAAATACAAAAAAAGTTGCTGGGGGAGAATAGACCAGACCCCCCTACTTGTACATAAGATACCACACCAAACTTTTGGTCACCAACAACCATCTGTCATCTCTTCACACTCAGTATAGTATGGTCCTTTTTTGTAGATGCCCACCCCCCAGACAAGGCGTAAAAAACCCTGTGTTCAAATCATTTCTGTATGAAGACAGGCCATTAGTCTCCTACGCATACCTACTTAATTAGCGGCGGGCCCAAACCTGCTAAAGTAGGTCTGCATAGGAGACTAACAGTCCATGGGTTAGGATTATGGTATGAGGACAAATGTTGCATTGCAAAGTAGTAAACACATAATATATATTTTAAATTGCATATGGTTGAATCATATTCACCAGGGTAAAACATCATGGGGTAAAACATCATGGGCTAGATTAAACAGATTGTCCTAATATCTAACTTTACCTGCAACACACACCTGTTTCATTGCTGTTAATTTTTCAACGAGTGACCGAAGGAAAATGGCTCTGTGGACGAGAATGGGTCCCCCTGCCCCCCTCTCGCCAACCTTGTTCCCAGGGTATTTGCTCTTTCCTTGCCCTCTCACTGGCCTTGCCTAATATCTGACATATTCCTATCACAGTTGCTTAGGGTTTTATTTGAACATGTAAAATCTATTTTTGATAGCTTGATGACCACTATATATTTAAATACGAAAGATATAATTTTTTTTATTACAGTAAGATTTTTATGTTAGCTATAAATGTGTCTATATATAGATAAACAAGATAAGATACTATTTTGTATGTGGTATTCTGGATACTTATTAGTCTTTAACCCATTGAGTTGCATTGCACCCTGATGCACCTTACTTTAGTATTTTACTCTGTCTAACGCCAGAGTATTTTACTCTGTCTAACGCCAGGCAATTTTACTCATCAAGGGGAGAGCGCTGGCGCTTAATGGGTTAATTAATGAAATTTAGAACATGTTTGTATAATATTTGTACACATATTTAAAGCAATTAGCTCCTACATATACTTGCAATATAGTACCCAATGCAACAGGCTCATCCAGTACTCCTCTATTTATTGAATGAGTAAAACTGCCTGGTGTAAGACCAAGTAAAATATTAAAGCATGAGAATCCAGTCTAATTGCAATTAAATAATTAATGGTTTTAACAAGACACTGGCAGATAGTTCTATTACTCATTAACTAATATTATTACTCCTGATAAGTAAGGATGTTTTGTGTTAGACTGCAGTAAAATGATAATTGTGGGTGCATATGCGTATTCAGGTTCATCACTAGTTGTTAGGTGTATTACCTTGAACCAATCCTTTAGATATTTGATTCATATTTATGGGATGTTGGAGCAGTGGTAGGGCAAAAGGAAGTCGGCAAATGGCAAAAGGAAGTCGGCAAATGGCAAGGGGCAGTCGGCAAATGTAAGGGCAATTGGTCATATTATATTGAAAGCATATTTGGCCTTTAAACTTTGTTGTAATTCAAATTTCTGCTCATTTAATTGCAACTTTTCTACACAAAGGACATGAGACCCTATTAATAAATGACAAGGGAGCCCACTGTAATTTCCCTTTGAGGCACATCTGTGGTTGCATGCATGCATGATGCTTATTAAAGCAATATATTAGTCTCAACATAAAATAATCAATCAGATTTACTGTTGAAGTCTCTTGTATTTGGAGGTTTTAGTATATGCACACGTTACATTAAAAGGGCACTTCAGCCCCCTTAGAAAAGAGCAGATTTGCCCCTCTCTCTGGCATCCCTATGTCTATGAGAAACATATATATTTTCTTTTTGTTCATCACAATTTATACCTTTTAGTTTTGCAATAGCTACTAGCTGCGTTTCCATATCCTATTAGGTATCTCCATAAGGCTACCTAATGGTGTCATGTGTATCTGATTAACACATGTTTAACTTGTGAGTTGTGTGGTCTGGAGGATACATCATACATGTGAGGATTTCGGTTTAAAAATTATATAAACTGACAAAGTATAATCATATAATGTAAAACAACCTGATTCAAGTATGTGGTGAAATCACACGATATTAAATTGAAATAAAGTTTACTGTAAATGACATAAAAAGGCAAATGTACAACTATAATTTATAAAAAGACAACATTAATACTGTACAGTATGTTGTTGTCAACATAATGTTGTCAACATAATATTGTCAACATCGTTTTTAAAATAGGCCTATGTCTCGTCTTTGTTCACAAAATTATGTGCCGGTGGAAAAAACTATTCAACTACTTGCTGACAACACGAACACGGATTAATGTATTTCGTCTTGGGTGCAGCTGTAGATAAACATTCTATAAAGTGAAATAGATATAATATAACTACATCGTGTTTTTATGCAATATTAGCGAATTTATCTCGAACGCTTGCCGCTTGACCGCTGGTAGAATCTTCGATAAAACATCTGCGTAAATCTTGGTGTGAATGTGACAGCCTACCTGAAAATAAATAGACAAAACTTCGACGTTTCGAGGGAACGCCAGGTAGTCTATCACATTCACACAGAAGTTTAGCGAATTTAACAACGTGACAAACAATACAATACTTGCTTTTACTGTAATAAGCCGCAAAAAGTGCGTTTACATCTTTACGCTACTCATTATTAAATGATACTTACATTGCATACACAGAACGATTTATTAATACATTCAAGTTTAGAAACAAAGACTCGGGTATTCTCAGCTATATTTTTGCTCAATTTCTTGGCCAGTTGCTTGTTCATATCTTACAAATAAACCGGAAGTTCAAAGGTAAATGTTGACAATCTCTGGCTTCCTATTGGTTTGCTACCTTCGCTACCCAATTAGTACTCTGACCAATAAAAAACAATCTTATTCAAGCTGCTACATTACCGCTATTATCAGTCAATCAATACTCTATAAAGCATGTACACAATAAATATTTTTTATCCAACATGATCAAATATTTGAGATCAAATTTCTGCCACTTGAGCCTTGAGGTGTTTTAATTTTATACACATAATGAATATGTATGCAGTATATCCCGGCGTACTTAATCGATGAAATCGATAATCGATGAGTATCGATATCAATCAATACCAATCGATATTTATCAATCGATTGATATTGGAAATCGATGAAAAATCGATGGCTTCTTTTGCTGTGACTTTCATCGATTGATCATCGATTTATTATTAATTTTCATTGATGAAAAAATCCTCCGTTAATATGCATGCAATCAAACAGGTAACGCCGTAATTTAATTAATACGTACTTTAATGTCGTAACAAACTCAAATGTGAACGGAATTCAGTAACAATGGATTAAATTAAGTTTTTCATCTATAGCTATAATACAGATCAAATACATGTGTACATTCGAAAAATGAGAACAGATTTACTATTTAGCTCGAACACGCCGACATGCTGGCGGCGATTATTTAGAATATAAATCGATCAAAATCGAAAGTATTTTGTCGATAAAAATCAATAAATATCGATGAAAATCGATGAATATCGATAATAATCGATAAAATTGGCTATAACTTATTGTGACTATCGATTGGTCATCGATTGACCAATGTCAATCGATATCAATTAAGTAATTAACATCGATTACCATCGATTGATCGATTGGATTTCCGATTATCGGTTTTTATCGATTAAGTACGCCGGGAGTATATAAAACTTTGGACCTAACCTCGCACAATTATGCAAATCGTACGTTCAATTCAATGATTTATTGTTCAAAATTCAAACCACTTTACCTTATTGCCATACACTTCTTTATAATCTCCTGAAATAGACGACGAGAATTCGAGAAATCAACACATCTCAGCGACTCAGCTAGATAAGTCTCGGCCAAGACAATTTTCTTGCATCCATCGAATTTATCTGCTTGAAATATTCTCCACAGAACACCAGTAAGCATTCCTTATCGTCACTTTCAAATAACGATCTAACCTTTTCGAAATCTACGTCGTTCATTTCGATAATAGTAAATAAATACAAACGAAATACTAAATTTGCTTGTAAAATTGAACAGAACTGCAACAAAGCTACCAAGTGCACAATGCTTCCAAATTGAAGATTAGAAGGCCAATCAGAGGAGATGTTCTTTAACTCTTTTGCGCAAATTGTCCAATCAGAAGCTGCTATCTATTTGCAGAATTAGTCAAAATAGTCAAAATTTCGCAATCGTTAGTCAAAATAGGTCTGACCAATCAACAGGCCTGTAATGTGTAATCTGAGCAAATTTGACCAATCAAATCACATGAACTAAAACGCAGAACAGTCAATTTTCATTTGAATACCGCTTATTTGACTTATCGTTTGACTAATCAATCGCTGGCTCAATGTGCAAAAACTGATCGAAGTTTATGTGCTGGAGTGTGATAGAGTTTTGATTGCGTGGTCAGAAATGAAGAGAAGTGTTTGCGCTGGGAAAAAAATCAAAAACCTTAGTCCAAATTTTTATATCTGCCTTTTTTTTGCGTTAGTCGCGTGACTAATCTGACTACCCCTAGATCCGCCCCTGAATTTATACTACCGTACTGACAATACCTGGTTGATTCTACAAGATTATGGCCTAAAATG